AAGGGAAACGAGTTATAAAAGTAGATATATCTGGCTTGAAATGCAGAATTTGTGAACAGAATTACTCAGATTTAGATGATATTAGGAAACATTTAATCTCAAACCACAAGAAAGAGTTCAATGCCGCTGGAAACGGACTTATGCCTTACGATTTGACTGTTAACAATGGTCTTCTATCCTGCCACAAGTGCTCCAAGACTTTTAACTCCTTCTTCTTGTTAAATAGACATATGAATGCGCATTTTAACGTTGTTTGCGAAACGTGCGGCTTAGGTTTCATATCGCATCAACGTTTAATTAATCATAGGATAGTACACCAAAATGGAAACCACACATGTGATAAATGCCAAGAAACATTTCCAACAAAGCTTAAGTTACGTTATCACGTTTTCAAAAAGCACGAGGATACAAATACGAAGAAGATAAAGCCGCTGAAATGTCCACATTGTTTGGAGAGATTCTCTGAGCATTATCGGAAAATGACGCATTTGAAGGAAGCGCATGGAATTTCGTTTACATTCGATTGTCAGGCTTGTAAAGCGGTTTTTCCCACTCGACGAGCGTTGACTGAACACACCACTAAATCTCATACACAGAAGATTCAGTGCAAAGTCTGTGGGAAGTGTTTTGGAACTCGATCGTTGCTTAAAATGCATATGAGAGGTCATACGGGGGAACGAAATTTCTTCTGCACTTTCTGCCATAAAGCTTACATGCACGAGAGGACACTGAGGCAGCATATGAGGGTGCACGGGTCGGTTTGGAAATTCACATGCTCAGAATGCGGGAATGGCTTCCATAATCGTAATGATTATAACAAACATATGAAGCAGTGGCATCCACAGTGGCAGTTCAAGACTATAGTTAGGAACTTCAGCGGTGATCTTATGAACTGAACAGTTTCGTATTATTTTAGCAGATTTTATATATGAAGTAGATAAGTCAGTGTAGTTTCAGTGAAATTCACATCACGAATGGCATATATTACTTTCAATCAGTGATTATCAATCCTAGTCAATCATTACACATCAATTCGATTTGAAATTATTAAATAATAATTAACAACACAATATAACAGCGCGCAATTTATTCTCCACTCTTAAAAATATGTCAATTTCATCCATTTTGAAAAATATCAAAACCCAAAACTGAGTTCTCTAGTCACACTACAATATTTACTTATGCTTAGTATGCACTATAAAGTGAATATATTAAAAAAATAACAGATCAAAAGAAATAATAATAAGCATCAATTATGTTAAAATCTTCATACCGATACGGAGCGTATTGAAATAAAGAATATACAAATGTTGCTTTTTTTGAGGCAAAAGTATTAAAAAAACGGTGTAAAGAGGTATTTTAGAATACTATTTTATTAAATTTATTATAATATCTAATCTGTAGTTTTCCAAATAAATTTATTTGTTTTTTTTTGGGTCCTGATACTTGTCCTTTGTCATAAACTAGAACGTCTTACGTCACATACAATGTAATTTGTTTTTTGTTCGAATATTTTTATCGTTGCTCTTGTATTTGTTTCTTTTTAATATTTCGGAAAGGCAAAGGGAGATATGTCCATACAGTATTATTATATTATCACTATACTGACACTTAATTAAAACATTAAAGAGAAAAAAAATATATTTCTATGTATATCGTTTTAAAATGGATTCAGTAGATTATGATATCTAAATTATCTTTCTCTTTCTAGATATGTATCTTGTAAGGTTGCCTTGAGTGATAAATAATTTTTATAAGCTTCATGTTTAATCTAAAAAAATACATTTTTTAAATCTAGTCTATGGAAATATTAGGTAGGTAGTCATTTTACTTATAATTCTAAATATTTTTTTAAATCATTGTAAGATGGTTACCTCTACATTACCTGTAAAAATATTACGTTTATTAGTCTTTCACGAACAAACTACTGAATGGATTTTGATGATACTTTACAGTGACATAATTGATACATCAGAATAACATATAGGCTATAAATTTCATGCTGGTGAAACTGGGGGCACAGCTAGTGTGCATTAAACACCAAAGTTCAAATTACCACTTTCTGAATTAAGAAATTTTTCTACTGTTTATAGGGTACATTATTACAGAGTACCTTATACTATATGTATATTATGTTAATCTTGTATATAAAATTCTCGTGTCACAATGTTTGTAATAAATCGGTCAACCGACCGATTTATTTTAAATTTTATAGGCATATTTAGTAGGTCTGAGAATCGGCTACTATTTATTTTTCATACCCCTAATTATTGGGGTTGTCCACCCCAATTTTTTTTTAATAATGTGGCATTAAAAAATACATACAACCCTAAATGTTCACCCTTATATCACCAACCCCTATTATTTAATAGCGATTTTAATTTATAATACGTTTGCGGGGTTAGCTAGTTAGTACCTGGCAGAAACCGGAGTAAGTCACTAGTCATTACAATAAATTTTGTTTATATATAGAGTTGTCATAATCATTAATCGTTGACGGCATCGGTGGTCTAGTGGTTTAGCACACCGCTTTACTTTCAACTGTAGCAGGTTCGTAATTTGTATTTATGTGTATAATTGTTTGTATTTGTCTGTTTTCTATGTATATTATGTATGTATTTACAAATGTATTCAAGTATTTGCATCAATTGTAGATTCAGATTTCTCAAACATTTGTATCCATGAGTATGATTGTTTGTATTTGTCTGTTTTCTATGTATATTATGTATGTATTTACAAATGTATTCGTATATGTTTAACACCTTCAGCGCCAGATCCTAAGTCACCGTTTTAAAAAAAAGATCTTTAAATTTTTTGTAAAATTACCAATTCCCAAATCATTCACATCGGAAAAATGCTTTCATTTGTTTAATAGATGTACAGAAACGTGTTCGTAAAGGATACACGGCGCGTTTATTAAGTAGAAAGATATTGTATTGTGTATACTTTTCAATGTGTGGAACACTGTGTTTCCAGACACTGTGTGACAAAAAGATACACATGCCGCCTAAGGTGTTAACCAAACTATAAGCTCTACTTAGCTTGGGACTACAATAGATGGCGCCGTGTGAAATTTCCTGGGAATTATTATTATAAATTTGGTTTATTGTTAATTTTATATTTTATTCAAAAATAATATCAGGCTTCGATTTATTATATTTTTTATAACTGAATCTTTAATTTTAAATTAATAATATGTATTTATCAGGGATGTTATGGATATGAAATTTCGGATACGGATAGGTATCGGATATAGGAATGATTATTATACCGGATACGGATACGGATGCGGATATGAAATTATTTCGGATTATCCGTTAGTTTCGGATAATTTCGGTTACGGATATTAATTTTTTAAGGAATTTCAAAAGTGAAATACAAATAGCTAATAAAATGGTTACATAATGTGTCTCAATTACGCTCCGTCCCTATCCGATATTATCCGAAACTTTTATTTCGGATTCGGTTACGGTTACGGAGCTCCCTTACATCCCTGGTATTTATGGGGCAATACAATGAATTTTACGACGTAGGACCTTTGTTTAAAATGCACATTGCTTTGCATACCAAATGAGAATAGTGAATCAGTATTATTATTGTACTATAATCTTTATACAATAAGAAGAAATAAATACTATATTTTAATATGAAATTTTATTGTTAGAGAAATCCCTTTCTTTATCCTATGAAATAAGACTTATTTAAAAAATATATGGCAATTATACAACAGGCCACTTACGTCACTTCTTAAAAATTTAATTAGGTACTTGATATTTTCAACTGAAGAACAGATATTTACGAGCGAAAAGTGAAAATTCACTTCCTTTTAAGCGTCGTAGCTGGCTATTACAGCTTCACCGAAGGGGGGTGGGGTGAGTGCAGATGGCACTCCAAACCATAAGTAGGACTTATAGAACGGTTGGAGGCCAAGTCTTGCATGACGGATACGAATTTAGTCTGAGGGCACCGTTAGGGCACCGTCGTAATTTCGATCTCCGTTGGAATTGGACTGGGATCGATCGAAAGGAAGGAAAGCTACTTTTTTTAGGACTAGTTTAACGCTGTTGGTCGCAGTTGGCCTGTGCAGCTTCACTGAATAATAACGAGTGCAGATGGCACTCCAAACCCGCGGAAGGACTTATGGAGCGGCTGACCGAATATTACCACTTGAAAGCACCGCTAGAGATTAAAGAAACAATAAATTTCATTTCAATTCAAACTTAGTTCAGGCGTCGTAATTTCGATTCTAATGCTGTTGACCTTTACAGTTAAAACCAATTATAATTTAATTTTTTTCTTATACTACTATGGTGGCAAACAAGCATACGGCCTATCTGATGGTAAATGGTTACCGTAGCCTATAGACGCCTGAAGCACCTGGGGTGTTGCCTACCCTTAAGAAACCTTAATATACCCTTCTTGAAAAACCCCATGCTGTAGTCTCGTGAGCAAACCTCGGCAGGAAGTAGTACGCGGGAGGAAGCTCCTCTGAAACCGCACTGTCCGAGACCGCTTAGGTTCCAGTGTGTGGGAATGAATTCCCTGTCGATGGCGAGCGGTGCGATGGTGAAAGGTGACCGTAGGCATCATGTCGAATAATTCCTCAGAACACAGTCCGTTGTATAATCGGTAGAACACACAAAGCGAAGCGAAGTCTCGCCTCAAACTAAGTGGCTCGATACCGTCAGAGAGATTGGGATCATCGACAATTCTCATAGCACATCTCTGAACCGAGTCAAAAGGACCGAGCTGGTATCCAGGTGCTCCTGCCCAAAGATAAGACAACGTACAACGATCCAGAGCTTCTTACTTCCTTTATTTGTCTCTAAAATGAAAGCGACTTGACTCTAAGCTAAATTAATGTCTAACTTGAATATGAATGTAATGTATGGCATTGGAAATTTATTTGTTATACATTTAGTGTAATGCATTCGCATCATTTAGGAGTGGATTTTATTTTATTTTATTTATTTATTATATATATAAACCTACTTCTAGAATCACTCTTAATTATTTAAAAAAACCGCTTCAAAATCCGTTCCGGTGTTTTAAAGATTTAAGTATACATAGGGACGGACAGACCGCGACAGCGACTTTGTTTTATACTATGTAATGATGATGAGAGTTGTATAGTAGAAGAACCATGCATGAATGCTATTTGTTTTACGTTTACAGTTTTTGTTTGGTTTATTGCATCAAGTTGAATTTTTCGGCCATCAGGATCTGTGGGAATCTTATGTCTAAATCGACAAAGAATAAAAAACAATATTTTATCTCCCCAGGGCCACAAAGGGAGGAGGCAAAGCGACGCCAAGGAGCCCTAACCAGTATATGGGAATTGACATTATCTGAACGGCAAAACGCGGCAATAATCCTAGAGAATACGACAGCAAGACCGTTCGTGTACTGCAGATATTTCTTCAAATGTTTCTTCTGTCGGGAACAGTATTCGGATATCAAAGTTTTACTACAACACAGTTTAACACACGACGTCCCTGATGTCACTATAATCCTTAAAGATTTGTTACCAAAAGGCAAAAGAACTGTTAAAGTGGACATATCAGAATTGAAATGTAGAGTCTGCTCAAAAGATTTTGTAGATTTAAACGTTATCAGAACTCATTTAGTCGAAGATCACGGTAAGCCATTCACTGAATCTGGAAATGGTATAGTGGCATACAATTTGTCAACAAAGGACGGGCAATTTACATGTCATATATGTAACAAAGTGTTCCAAACGTTTATACTTTTGAATAGACATATGAATGTCCATTTTAGTAACGCTGTATGCGAGACATGCGGTGCTGGTTTCATGACGCACCAGCGTCTAATACAGCACAAAGAAATACATCTACCTGGAGGATATCCTTGCAATAAATGTCCAAAGATTTATACGACAAATTCAAATTTGAAATACCATATAGAAAAGGCTCACGAGGGAGCAACGAAGATGCGTATGCTGCGATGCGCCCATTGCTCTGAAAGATTTCCTGAACATTTCAAAAAGTTGAAGCATCTGAAAGAGGTTCATGGAATAACGTTTACCTTCGAATGTGAAGTGTGCAAATCAATTTTTTCCAGTCGTAGAGCATTGACGATGCATACGAACAAGTTTCACACGCAGAAGACTCAGTGCGAGATCTGCAAGAAGTGTTTCAGCTGCGTTTCCACATTAAAGAAGCATATGATTTGTCACACGGGAGAGAGGAATTTCGTTTGTATATTATGCCAAAAAGCTTATAGACACCAGAAAAGTTTGAGACAACATATGCGAACGCACATACAAGGGAATGATTATGTGAAATTCACGTGCACCGAGTGTGGGAATGGATTTCCGAATAGAAATGAATTTAATAAACATGTAAGGGAATGGCATCCGAGGGCATATTTTAATTGATTTATTGCAGGTTAGAAATTTATTACATCACTCGTAAATGATTCGCATAAAATTAAAAACAATTGAGCAAGTAATCACTATGTTTAAATAATACCTCTGATCTATGGTTCATATTCTATTTACTGCCTTTATGAAAATGAAACCTAAATTAATACTACCTAAAATAAGAGCTTGTTTCACAGTTTTATGTATAAATAGATTTTGTTTCATTCGAGTTTTTAATGGCAATAATTTTATTTATGTTGTTATTTTGCTTATAACAGAGATTAAAATTTTCAAAAATATCAGTATAAATTTATTTCCTTAAATTGTGTATTATGTATTTTATAAATCTTATTTTTACTGTTTGATATAAATAAATACAAGATATTATATATCAACATAAACCAAAAATCTACGATACTATGCATGTTCTGAAAATTTTTATTTTTTTTCCACAGGCAATAAAACCGTATCAGAAACGAGCATTTGGCAAATGACTGTGGCTGAAAGAAAGAATGCTGCCGCCTTCATTCTAAACACCACGGTACGACCTTTCATATTCATGGGCTCAAGTTTCAAATGCTTTTACTGTATGGAGTATTATTCAGAAATATCAGACTTATTAGACCACACATCAAGTCACACAATAGATAATGTAGACGAGATTCTAGAAAAATATGTGCCAAAAGGTAAAAGAACATTGCAAGTTGACATTTCAAATTTAAAATGTCGAATCTGCAAACAGAATTATTCAAATTTAGATAATGTAAGGGATCATTTAATTTATGAACACGAGAAGGAATTCTATGCAGCCAGCAACGGAATGACAGAATACGACATGGAAATTAAAAATGGAATGCTCAGGTGCCATATCTGTGGTAAAGATTTCCACAATTTCGCGCTTTTAAATTGTCACATGAACTGTCACGTCGGAAAGGTAGTCTGTGAAAATTGCGGCGCTGGGTTCCTGAACCAACATCTTTTAATGAAGCACAAAGAAATCCATCTAACAAAGAGGTTTCCTTGTAAATTGTGCGAGAAGACATTTTTCAAAAAGAGTCAACTTAAATATCACACAGAGATAGTTCATAAAGGCAAAGATAGAGTCAAACCAAAGAAATGTCCAGAATGTTCGCAAACATTTAAAGAACATTACAGTAAAATGGTGCACTTGAAAGAAGTTCATGGTATTTCTAAAACCTTCCAATGTCATATTTGCAAAGCGATTTTTAGTACAAGGAGAGCATTAACTGAACATACTACTAGATTCCATACGGAGAAATACAAATGCGAAGTGTGTCTTAAATGTTTTGGAATAGAGTCCAAATTAAAACAGCATTTACGAGGTCATACTGGTGAAAGGAATTTCATATGTCCAATATGTAAAAATGCTTATATGCATAAGATAACTCTAAGAAAACATATGAGGATACACAATTCAGTTTTTAAATTCATCTGCTCGGAATGTGGATCAGGATTCTATAATAAAAATGATTTTGTTAAGCACAATAAACAGTGGCATTCGTTTCGAGGTATTTTAGAATAACAATATTTAAATGGCAGATTTAAAAAATATGAAATAAATATCAAATTTCAAATATTGCCAGCACAATTTGTTTTATTTTATGTATTCTTATACCTATATTAATTTATTGTAGTATCAAAAAACCACCGAAGCCGTCATATGTATAAACTTAATAGTTCATACATATGACGGCTTCGGTGGTCCAGTGGTTTAGCATACCGCTTTAGTTCCAATGGTCGTCGATTCGATTTCTCGCACGGTGCAAACATTTGTATTCATGAGAATGATTGTTCGTATCGGTATGGGTGTTTTCTGTGTATATTATGTATGATTTACAAAAAAAAATATCTAAGTGTTGAGTAAGAGTATGTCAGTTGTCTAGTACCCATAACACAAGCTCTGCTTACCGTGGGACTAGAATACGTTGTGTTAATTGTCCAGGGTATTATCTAAATATATATAACTCAAAGGTGACTGACGGATCGGGCTGAAATTTGGCATGCAGGTAGATGTTATGACGAAGGCATCCGCTAAGAAAAGATTTTGATTAATTCTATCCCCAAGGGGATGAAAGTTTGTATGAAACTTTGTCAATTTTAAACCGATCGGGCTGAGACTTCGCACACATAAAGCTACTATAACGTAGGCATCCCCTAAGAAAGCATTTTGATAAATTCCACCCCTAAGGGTATAAAATGGGTGAATGAAAGTTTGTATTAAAGTACTGTAAAGCCGCAAAAACAATACCTAATAATAATACTTCTTAACGCGAGCGAAGCCGCGGGCAAAGGCTAGTCCAGATATATTTCTTAAAAATAAAGAAATGAGCCAAAGAAGGCAAAGATCTAGGAGTAGGAACGAAGCTGCATACATAAAGCTACTATGACATAGGCATCCCCTAAGAATAAGGATTTTGATAAATTCCACCCCTAAGGGGATAATAGCTGATGAAAGTTCTGTAAAGGCGCAAAAACTATACCTAATAATAATACTACTTAACGCGAGCGAAAACGCGGGCAAAAGCTAGTTATTTACATATAACTGATTAGATAGTGAAATTCCAGGATAAGAAACATAACATCTTAGTTCTGTAGAATGACGCTTGAGTGGTATCACGGGTGTCATATGATAACGTGATTTCTTTAATGCTGTTCAAGAATCGACGATTATCGCTTACCATTAGCTTGTTTGTTATTAATCTCATAAAAAAAACCTACTATAGAATTAAGTAAAATCTACCGTCAGTTCAGACTGTCTCCTGTCCACATCCACCTATTAGAAACATCGAGTGAGGTAAACACCGCATTTACTATAAAATTAATAGAAAAAGAATACAATAGAAAGTTCTTTATTGAAATAAATTTATATAAAAATGCAGGTCACTCGATCGATCATTCCAATACAAACAGGGCTCGAAATTACGGGCTGAGCTGAGATTCGAACCCCTAGCGGTGCCCTCAGACTAAAGTCAGGCGTGAGTTGGTCTTCAGACGCTCCAGAAGTCCTTTAGCGGGTTTGGAGTGGCATTTGCACTCGCCCCCTACCGTTCAGTGAAGTTACAGCTTCATTGATCGATAGGTCATACAACACAATACAACGATAGCTCAATAGTCAGAAAAAAAATCGATGGACCCTGTATTAATTTTTTTTTAATTTATTGGTTGTTCCATCACCCGTAAGTTAGAAATATTCATATAATACATACAAGTGTTTTGTGTCAGATTCGAACTCACACTTGGCTACTAAACAAATAAACCACGTTTACATCATACTATCGTTATTACATAAAACTGGTAATTTTAAATAAACAGGTTAGTAAATTAATTTATCTTTTTTTTTGTTTTTCTTTTGTTTCGTAACGGTGTATCTTAATGGTTTCTCTTATTTTCAGGTATATCTTTACGGCCAGCTACCAGTCTATGGGCGATGACGTTGTCAGAACGAGAAAATGCTGCGAACTTCATACAATATACGACAATCCGGCCGTTCACCTATCTCTCTTTCCCTCTCCGTTTCAAATGTTTCTACTGTGACAAACAATATCCTGAATTAGATACTCTGCTCCAGCATTCAGATAGCCATAATACGCCGGATCGTTCGGAAATTATGAAAACTCATTTAAAAAAAGGAAAAAGAACTCTTAAAGTTGACATTTCCGAATTAAAATGCAGATTATGCAATGTTCCATTTTCAAATTTAAACGACATTAGAATACATTTAACAGATAAACACGGGAAAGAATTTTCCACGTCTGGGAACGGAATGATAGCGTTTAGTTTAAAAACAAAAGACGGAATATTCTCGTGTCATTTATGTACAGATAAATTTAACAGTTTTTTCCTTTTAAATAAGCATATAAATGTACATTACAATAACGCGATCTGTGAATTATGTGGAAAAGGTTTCGTATCCCACAAAAGGTTGTTACTTCACCGAGAAATACATGGAAACGACCAATATCCCTGTGAAAAATGTAAAATTACGTTCTCAAGCGTTACCAAACTGAAATACCATAGACTAAAAGTACACGGACCAAAAAAAGTTAAACCGTCAAAGTGTCAGTTTTGTTTCGAAAGGTTCGAACACCACTACGAGAAAATAAGACATTTGAGCGATACGCACGGAACGAAAATTGAATTCAAATGTGACACTTGTGGCGCTGATTATAAGTCACAAAAATCTTTGGCATTCCATCGGATAAAGTATCATACATTGAGCATTTCTTGTGAGATTTGCAAGAAGCCGTTCTCTGAACGCAATCATTTGACTCGTCACATGGCGATGCACACGGAGGAACGAAATTTTGCTTGTACCATATGCTCAAAGACGTATAGATATGAAAAAAGTTTAAAGGACCATATGAAGGTACACAATCCAGATTGGAAATTCGCTTGTTCAGAATGCTGGATTGGTTTTTCGGGTAAAATTAAGTATAGGAAACACATGTCGCAAATACATGCTAAATAAACTAACATTGTCTCTAAATTATAGTATTATCTGTGCAATAAACAATATTTAATAAATGACAATAAAATATTGCAGTGTATAAGCCCATATTATTAATAGTATATGGAAAAGAAATTTTGCCTCTAACGGTGTTAAATTATAGTTAGAAGTATTGATAGGACGATAGAGATTTTACGGTATTTTGAATTTGACTTCGATGGAAAAAAATCTTTTATAAAATAAACTAGCTAGCTGCACGGGTGTACATGTATTACATATATATGAACCTTCCTCTTGGATCACTCTATCTAATAAAAAAACCGCTTCAAAATGCGTTGCGTAGTTTGCAAGATTTAAGCATACATAGGGACCGACAGACAGCGACAGCGACTTTATTTTATACTATGTAGTGATGATACGATTGGTGTTCAGTTTGTATTGTATTTTTTTTTACAAATTATGTAAGTATAAATAATATTGAATAAGAAATCCAAGGCCTATATCATAATAAAAAAAAGTATAAAAACTTTTACGTGGTCTTTAGTCTGTGTATTCTTTCGCGGTATTTTCCATTTTGCTAAAAATACAGATAATACAATTGTTTATTACTTTTTTTTTTCGCTGACTTAGTTTAAAATTGGACTACCGAATTTATTTATTCTTACTTTTAAAATTGTAATAATTCTCAACTTTATCTTGTGTTTTCACATAATCTATTTATTTAGTGTTTCTCATTATTTCTCAAATAATAATAAAAATATCTAATGCGAGATCGACTTTAACCGTAATCGGTAAAACTTTAAGGTCTACTTTCTAATAATATGTAGGTATATACATATATGTATAAACTTCATATAATCAACTTATATGAAGTTTTTAAACCCTTTTTCGGTCTTCCTCACTTGCATGTCATTGGGGATTGGTTTTTGGCCACGTGCGTCGCTTCCAGGTCCCGGAGACAGCTGAAACCGGTAGTGTTGGCGGCTGCAGATCGACTGTGATGGAGCGTATCGATTCATATAATTGTAGAAATGGAAATCTCTGAAATCAAATCAAACATATATGTATAGGGCT